TGGGAAAGAAAAAAGAAACAATAAAATGTTATTTGAGATCATCTCCTCTTGCCCGCCCTGGAGCCACGCGGCTCCCCGCTCGGGGCCCTGCCCCCTCCCGGCGCCCAGGAGCGGGCACAGTGCTGAGTGTGCTAAATTAGGCCATTAGAGAAATTCATTTCTCTTTATTAGTCTGTGTCAAATCCTTTTTATTAGTGGCTGGAAACGACCTCTCTTCCTCAGTGAAATGTCACGCAGGTTCCCTCCTTCTATTTGTTCTGCACTGACGAGGCTCAAGCTCTCCCTGAATTGAGCGGTGAGATTTATTTCCTCCAAATTTTGAACGGCTTAAGAGAGATTGGGGTGGAGGGGGCGGTCAGGCGGAGGCGGCAGGGGGAAGAGGGGAGAGAGCAGCGGGAGCAGTGAGCTCCTCTGCAGGTCAGGTGTCCCCTGGAAATACAATCGAGCAGCCACCTCTCACATCTTGTTCCTGGGACTGAGTTTCCAGGTTCCTACTTCTGTCTCTCTGATGGGGGAGATCGGGACAACACCAGGACACACTGATGCTCAAGGCCATATCCCGTGTCTCCATGGAAACCCTTCTTCCCTCCCATGCCTGCACACACTGGGACATTCATGTCCCTGCTGACCAAGACACCCAGCTCTCGGGGTCCCTGCCCTAGTCACCCCATCCTGTGCCTCCCCAAGTCTGCATTGGGGCTGCCAGCCTCATCTCCCGCCCTGGACGGTGATGGTGGGGTGCAGCTTAGGAATACAGGTCCACCCTTGGTTGGACAGCTGGAGGCTGGGCAGCTGGGGAGGGGCTGGGCCTTGGAGAAGCCCAGTGACTGCAGCCACAGACCCTGCTGAGTCACCGGGAGGCTGAGCCTGGTTCTCAGGGGTGACTCAGTGTCTCAGCGGACCCTATGCTTGAGGTAGCGGGGAACAGTCTGGATTAATGGAGGGATCCAGGGGGATAGAGCAGGGGAGCCACAGGCAGCCCCTACCCGGTGTAGCCCGTGTGGAACCTGCGGCTGAGCTCAGATGCCATCTGACCTCCTGGGCTCAGGGACCAGGGACCAGGGGAGGGGTAGGTGGAACCAGCCAGGAGCTCGGAGAGGGTGGGGTGTGAGAAGGGAGGGTCTGGAGCTGAGAGTTTGGCTCGGGTCAGGAGACACTGGAGAGAAGCAGCCAGGACAGCCTCCGGGAGCCTGCTCTGTGCTCCGTGGCCCTCGTTCATTTGTGGGAGGTGTGGGGGTGGAACGTATGTTTCCTTCTTCTGGGAGATAGCAGGAGCCCCCAGAAAACACCCCCAGATATGCCCCACACACACATTCTGGGGAGATCTGACGCCTGGAAGTGAGAGGTTTTTTGAAAAGGGCGTGTGCTGTGGACCAGTGTGCGTGACAAGGCCTCCAGCCCTCCTCCTGCACCGCGCCCAAGGCCCAGCTCTGTCTGAGACTGTGATCTGAGTCCCGTTCACCTCTCCGTCCTCACCTCCCTGCATCCCCTCCCGCCTGTCCTGCTCCAGCCACATTGTCTGCATGCTGTTCCAGAAACACACCAGGCTCATTCCTATCTCAGGTGCTTTGCTTTTTCTTCTCCGAAATCCTCTCCCTCTGATTTTTGCATGACTGCCTCCTCATCATTCAGGCGTCGTTTCAATGCCGCCTCCTCAGAGAGGCCCTCCCTGATCACTCTCCTCCGTGCAGGGGCAAGAACAGTGGCAGAGGGGACCGCCCTCCCAGCCCCATCCCAACTCTAGTGCTAGTATGTGAGGGGTGCAGTCACCAGTAGATCCCTCTTTCCCTACCCCACACGCTATTCATGATAGAACACTCAGTCCCCGCCCAGATCACACACACACACACACACACACACACACACACGGCACATACATACACCCTGCCCACAATGCAGGGCACAAGCACACTCTATTCACTGAACACAAAATCTGTACCCCAACTTCAAACACCCAACCCACATGCATACATTCTTTGTACATCCCACACTGTGTGTACACACAATGCAAACACACAAGAGCACATGTACACAACACTCACACTGGACTTGCTGATGGGTGCGTGCACACACACACACACACACACACACGTACACACGGGCGCCCCCTCTTCCTTCAGCAGCTGCCCACCCCCCTCTGGCGGGAGAAGGGGATTGGCGGTGACCGGCGGGGTGCACCCACCACCTGGCACGGCGCTGCGGATTATTAGTTCCTGGTAATTTAGTGCCCTTGTACAGAGTCGATTTGTGCCTTTCATTCCTAATTGATCTAGTGGCTGTTTAAATGGCAGCAGGCATCTGTTGAGAGTAGGAAGGTTCATCAGGCGCAATAATTCATAACACCGCCTGGAATTTGCCTTTCGTGTCCCTCAGCTAGCGCGCCGCGGGCTCTGCTTAAATCACAGCCGCCACCGAGGCTTCCTTTGGTATTCCGCACAGGGCCAGGAGAGGCTTGCATTAAACTGGGATCAGCTCAGATTAGGCCATAATATGCTGCGGCATTAGTGGCTGCAAATGAAGACTTACTCCGGAGTTTAACCCTTCACCTGCTCTCTCTTTGTTTTAGCCGCTGGCTAAGCGAGCCTCGGTTTTCCCTGTCAGCTTCTGGGGAGGGTGGGGGGAGCGCTGAATAGGTCTTCCAGAGATTTGGGGCCACAGATGGGCCACATTCAGATATTGACCCTTTTTTCCCTGCTGACAAAAACCCAGCCTGCAGGCCAGCTGTTTATGCATCAGCTCCTAGAACAAGGGCGGGGAGGCAGTGTCCAGGGCAGGCCCTGCGAGCCAAGCAGCCCACCTGAAGTGGGCCCTCCCCCCCCCCACTGCCTCTGAGCCTGAGGAGAACGGCCAGTGTATATGGGGGCTAAGCACCTAGAATTATGGGAACCCCAGAGTGGACAGGCTGGGAGGGTCAGCACTGTGAGGCTGGGCGTCAGTCCTCCTTGCATTGTGTTTGATCACAGTGTGCCCGGGGGAGCACTGTCCAGTGTCCTTTCAAGTCTTGTGCTTTCCCGTGTGGCAGCCACCAGTTAAAATTAAATAAAGTTGGCTTAGTGGATAGAGCGTCAGCTTTCGGACTGAAAGGTCCCGGGTTTGATTCTGGTCAAGGGCATGTACCTTGGTTGCGGGCACATCCCCACTAGGGGGTGTGCAAGAGGCAGCTGATCGATGATTCTCTCTCATCGATGTTTCTCTCTATCCTCTCTTTTTCTCTGTAAAAAAAAAAAAAAATCAATAATATATTTTTTAATAAAATTAAATAAAGTAAAAACTCAGTGTCCTAAGCACAAGTCATCATTTTTAATCCCCACCCAAGGATACGTGTTTATTGATTTTTAGAGAGAGAGAGGGAGGGAGAGAGAGAGAAACATTGATGTGAGATAGAAACATCGATCTGCTGCCTCCCATATGCGCCACAACCATGATCAAACCCACAACCTAGGTATGTGCCCTGACCGGGAATTGAACCTGCATCCTTTTGATGTATAAGACGACGCTCCAACCTATTGAGCCACCCAGCCAGGGCGGCAGTCATATTTTAAATGTCCCTTGACCTTGACTAGTTAGTGGCTCTGTGTTGGAGGGCAGACAGTGGAGAGTGTGTCCATGTGGCAGGAATGTTACTGGACAGTGCTGGCCGGAGCATCCCCTCTCGCAGAGGCCCGGGGGCCAGGCCTGACACATGCTTCCTCCTCTCCCAGCAGGCAGAGCTTCCTCAAAAAGAAAGAGCTAGATTGTGTGGTCCCAGGGGACTGAGAAAGAGATGGGGGGATGTAAATGCTTTTAGGTGACCAGCATGGGAAGGAAGAGGGCTCCAGTGTCAACAACCCATGCAAACATATGCACAGTTCTGGGAGTTAAGACATAGTCATTTACACATGCTGCAGAGAAATAAGAGTGATATGCACTTATATGTGCACACAGGTGTGCACACATAACATATATGCATTCAGCAAACACTTGTTGGGATCTTCACGCCTCTGCTAGACTCCGAACAGACTGTGGTGAATAAGGGGTGGGCTGGCTTCCTGCCCTCATCAGCTCACATTCTAGTCAGGAAGGTAGGTGATAAAGCAAAGAGCTCAGGGAGCCATCAGCGTAGCATGAGGGAGAGGCATTCAGAGGAGCTTCCCAGAGTGGGTGACGTCTCCACCGAAACCCAGAGCCAGCAATGTAAGCCTGTCAGCTTACAGAATACATCACACACATATAACCTGCTCACTCACATACTCTTCATTCCCTAATTCATTGTCTGTCACTGAGAATTAAGTGCCTTCTATGAGCATGCAGGGCAAGGCCCTAAAGATACAACCCTCATTAAGACAGGGACAGTCCTGGAGAACAATGGTGAGGAAATACGATGCAGATAACCAGGTGTTTTCGGATGTGCTAGGTGTGTGATGACGGGAAAGTGCAGGGAGGTGATATTCCTGTGATTGGGTGTGTGACCTGAACTGAGTCGGCAAACAGATGCAGAGCAGGTGGAGACACCTGCCTGCACGTGCAACCAGAATTCAGGCTCCTGCTCATCCCCTGTAGATACTCACACGCACACTGACACTGCCCTGAGCTGGCTCCAGGCAGCCAAGAATGGGTGTCTGACCAACCGCTGATGTTCATGTCCGGGACTCGTTCTGACACCTCCCACACTTCCTTCCTGGTTGACCTTAAACCAGAAAGGGACTCCTACTTCTCTGAAGGCTTACACACACACACACACACACCCCATCAGATACCCATGCAGGTTACCTTACCACAGAGAAAAGCCAGGCGCCGGTGAGGAGGATGGCGCCCTCTGCGCTCAGGGATGGGAGACTGGGTTTTCCCTCCAGGGCGTGAGCTGCTGCCATCTGGGCTGGCCGTGGGGACTGGGGACGGTCTCGGGAGTGGGGCCGTGGGAGAAGAAGTGCGGGGAGCGTGGGGAAGGGGCCCTCATGGCTTCTGAGCCCAGCCGGCCGCAGGTCTCTGTGCACATGTGTGAGCTCTCGCTGTCCCCACAGGCACCCTCTTTTCCCGCTCCTGACGCTGCTGTTTGAGAAATGTGAACAGGCCACCCAGGGCTCGGAGTGCATCACCTCCGCCAGCTTTGACGTGGACATCGAGAACTTTGTCCACCAGCAGGAGCAGGAGCACAAACCCTTCTTCAGCGATGACCCAGAACTGGACAATCTGGTAAAGACCCTCCCTCCCCACCCCGGATAGGCTCTCCGTCCCCTGTGGTCCCTCTAAGTACTCTCATTCGTTCAGCAAAAGGCGTTGTGTGCCACCATGGGCCAGGCACTAGGTGGTCCCCTAGCCATTGAGAATCATTTCTGAGTTCCCTGAACCAAGAGCTACAGGCACAGGTCTGGCTGCCCAAGCTCTCCCCTTCTCTGGGCTCTGCCCGCTGCACACCTGCATCCCCTTCAGCCTCTTGCCGCGCAGACGCAGACGGGAGGAGAGGAGCAGCGTGGCACCAGGATGTCTGGGGCAGCGGTTCTGAGGGCTGGAGTCCTGGCGTGTTAGTCACTCGCCAGGCTGGTGTGCTGCAGGGTGGAGGGTGAGGGGACAGGCACATTCAAGCCCATCAGCAGCTCGAGAGACCTGGAGACACAGTCCTGTTGAGAAGGAGGCCAGCAGATGTCCTGCCCATTTAGGGGGACACAGGAGATAGCAGGCTTTCAAACCCAGTGTGTTACCCAGGTCACGACTGCAGCCTGCTGTTCCATGCAGCTGGGACATGCCAGCATGTGTCTGGCCCCGTGCTCCCCTTGCCAACACTCTCCCCGGGTCTCCAGGTCTGCTCACTCCCGTAGGCAGAGATCTTATTCAGTCCAGCAAACCGTGGTCAAGGGCCTGCCGTGTGCCAAGCCTGGGGAAATGGGTGTTGGTGAAGCTGCCCCGGTGGCCCCAAACCTCCAGCGGCCCCAGTCCTCAGATCACCAGACTGGGAGTGATCTGGTGAGTGGAGTCGTCCTTGGACCTCCCACCCATCACGTGGCCTGATCTACCCAGATGAGTAGCCACGGTCCCGGCTGGGAGATGGGTCAGTCTATTATTTTATTTTTTCTGTGATTTGAAATTTTTAAAGTTATAGTTTACGTTCAGTATTACTTTGTATTAGTATCGGATGTGCAGCATAGTGGTTAGACAACCATCTACTTTACAGAGTAGATTGGTCCGTTGTTCCCATGGGACGAAAGACCAGGGCCGGCTTCCCCGTTCAGCATCTACGCGACTTTGCTGACTTCGAAGCTCGGTTTCCTTGCGTGTAGATCCAATACGCCCATCTCCAGTGACTGTAATAAAAACACAAGTGAGATGGCTTGTGGAACTAAATGGCCTTTAAGAACGCATGCCGTTCAGAAGGTTAGTCTCAAGTGCAGTATCCTGACGCCAAGGCATTCTAGCTTCCCAGCCCCACCTCCCGGCCCCCAAAACTGTACTCGGGGAGCCAAGCAGTGCCCTTCGCCGCCCTCTTGAAGTCAGGAGGGGGAGGAAGAGGCCAACCACAGGAGCCATCATTAGAACAGGAATCATGTAGCCAGCGCAGCCAAGATGCACATAATTAGAAATTAGAAAAAGGTCAGATCACGTCATTATCAGCTCAATCAGCTGCCGAGTGCCACAGCCAGTTAATCTGGCATCTGTATTTTTTACAACCCCGCACACGTAGCCCAACGGACTGTAACTCTTTATCCGGACAGATATACTGCGCAGCAGAGCAGGGACATAAAATGAGAGACCCCGAGCAAATGAGCTGAGATAATTGAGAGATTTATTTTATATATATGTGCGTGTCAGGGCGGCTCTCTTCTGCCCTTGAATATTGACTTTCACAGATGAAATTGTCAGGAGGACACGGAGGTCCCCAAAACTTTGTCCCACCCTGGGATCTCGAGCTCTGATTCCTCTCTCCCCTTTTTCTCCTCCCCCTCCAGCCACCCACCAAGCCACCACTAGGCATGACTCCTCCCACCTCTAGCTGGGCGATCCCCTCCCCCCAAAGAAACACAATTTGCATGCTGTACCTTCCCTCCTCCCAGAAGGTGTCCTGGACAAGTTCCCATGGGAACACTGATGGAGCTCTCCTGGAGCTGCCCAAGGATCAGAGACGTCCCCAGACTGCAGTTCTGAGGGCACTGCCCTTCCTGGGAGCCAGCTGCTCACTGCACATGAGGAGACACAGCTCTGGAGGGAAGCAAGTCCCTCTTACAGATGAGACAGCACCGTCCAGAGAAGGGAAATTATTTTAAGACCAAGACCAACCTATGGCTCCTCATATGCTCTCCCTCCACTGCATCAACCCCTCCCTTCTCCCTGGGACAATAGAGTCCTATTTCATAAAAGTACACACCCCACCCCCCACCCTCCAGCCAGCCACTGTGGTTCAGCAGTTGAGCTGCAACATATGAACCAGGAAGTCAGGGTTCCATTCCGGTCAGGGCATATGCCAGGTTGCAGGCTTGATCCCCAGTAGGGGGCGTGCAGGAGGCAGCCAATCAATGATTCTTTCATCATTGAGATTTCTATCTCTCCTCTCTTCCTCTCTCTTAAATCAATTAAAAATATATATTTTTTTTAAAAAAAGAGTACCCCCACCAGGTCTCCCCGAGCCCCCACACTATGACCCTCTCTACTTCTCCTTTCCCACGCTGGTGGAAAGGCTGGGATGCCCCCAGGTTAGTGCCACAGCCACTCTCCATGCCAGTCCCACTCCTACCCTGTGCTCACCAGGCCCTCTCTGACCTGCCCCCCGGGTCCCCCGCTCGGGTCCAACCCCCTCTGACTGGCAGTTGGTAAAGTTTGTAAAATTTGCAAGTCCCCCAAACCCCTTTGAAAGGTAGAAGCTTTCTGTTTTATGAAATCTGATTTACGGGCCCCCAGCGCAGGGCCATGGTTTTATATATTATGCAAGATTTCAAACCGAGGCTGTAAAACCTATGGTTTCAGTTTCATGCATGGAATTTTTTTATGTGTAAATTTTTTAACATTTATGGGGCACGTTTTAATGAGACTCTGGTGTGGCTCAGGGGACAGATTAGAGCTGCCTGGCCGAAAAGCCAGCTCTGAAACGGGGCCCCGCAGGCCCCTGGGCCACGCTGAGGAGGCAGGGCCCGAGGCGTGGAGAGGAGCCAGGCCGGAGTTCCGGGCACGCAGAGGCCTCGCCGGCCCCGGGCGCTCGGTCTCTCCCTCAGCCTCCAGCGCAGACTCCCTTCGCCCAGAGAGTAGCAGGAATCCCACAGGTGAGAAAACGGAAGGAAAACCGTCTGAGCTGGCAACAGTGAGCATCTACAGAGCCCTTAGGTGCCAGGTGCTCTTCCAAACACCTTACATGTAATTTCTCACTTCATCCTATTTTCAAACCCACAAGGCTAAGGTGACCAGATCATCCTGCTTTTGGCGGGACAGTCCTGATTTCTAACAATTTTTTAAAAAGTCCCGATTGGCACACCCCCAGGAGGGGGTGTGCAAGAGGCAGCTGATCAATGTTTCTCTCTCATCGATGTTTCTTTATATATATATATATATATATATATATATATATATATATATATATATATATATAAATTGATTTTTCACAGAGAGGAAGAGAGAGGGATAGAGAGTTAGAAACGTACATGCCCTTGACCGGAATTGAACCCGGGACCTTTCAGTCCGCAGGCCAATGCTCTATCCACTGAGCCAAACCGGTGCTGACTCTCATCGATGTTTCTAACTCTCTATCCCTCTCTCTTCCTCCCTGTAAAAAAAAAATCAATAAAATATATATATATTTTAAAGTCTCAATTTTTGGAAAGATTAGAAAGATTCTTTCCAAAAATCAGGATTTTTTTTTTAAAGCGCCACGCAATGCGGGAAAAATTGTTAGAAATCAGGATTGTCCCGCCAAAAGCGGGACGCTCTGGTCACCTTACCAAGGCACATATTATTACTATTATTCCTATTTTAAGACGAGGAGCTGGAGACACGGGGATGTCACTAGCTCAAGGTCACACCTAACACGCAGCAGAGGGAGCCACGCAGTCATGCTGCTCCATCGCTCATCTTTCTGAGTTCTTTCTGTGTACCAGCTCCTCTTTTTAGCTCTTTTCGGGCCACCTTTCATTCAGTCCTCACTATAGCCCTGAGGGAGTCACTGTCATCCCATTTTGCAGAGGAGGAAAGTAGAGTGCAGAGACTCTGTAAACTGGCTAGGGTCTCTCAGCATGTGGGAGACCCAGGACTCAGCCTCCAAAGCCCACTGCTCTGCCATTTGGTTCTGTCAGTGGTCCTCTCCACATTATACAGAGGCGCTCAAGGCCTAAGAACCCAAAGTCACCGAGCTGGTATTTGCACCATGTGGGTGTGACTCCGAAGCCCACTGCCTTCCTCTGCACCACGCTGCTTCTCCAAATTGAGAAGTGACCTGTTATTGACTTAAAAGCGTTTCACCTGTCATGCATAGTTCATTCTGTCCCCCCATTATCTGGCCGCTCCCAGTCCCTGGTCTTCGTCTTCCAACTCCCCTTTCTTGTTCCCAATGACCTTACACTTACAACTGGTTGGGCAGAGCTGGGCGGGTCTGGAAAAATTCCTGATTAGGTTTTAGCTTTGGCTGCCCTAATGACCCCCAGGAAACATCACAGCTAGTGTGTTTATAAACGCCTTCATCTGCGAGTGAGCGAGGACCCTCCCAGCTTCCCGGCTCACAGAGGAAGCGCCTCCTGAATTGCTGCGTGCAGCTTCGCAGGGACCTCATCTCAGCCTCCGTTCCTCCTCTCGGGGAGACATGCCCCATGGTTATGAGGCTCAAATGAGATAATGGAGAGAAGAGCATTTTGCATCTTGTAAAGTGCTCTGCCTGTAATTGATTTGAAAGGCAAGATTTATTACCATCAAGCGGAGAGGCCACGAGCCTACAAGAGCGGCTACTTTTTAGGAGGAACTTGGTTGCGGGAGGGGGCGCGTTGGCATAAAGAACTGGCATTTATCAAATAGCTACTCTGTCCCCAGGACATTTACATACATTACCTAATTCCATTTTCACAACAGCTCTACCATGTAAGCATTATCACCCAAACTTGACCGAAAGTTTAAATGCTTGTCTGGAATACCCAGGCAGGAAATGAGTGATTTGGAGCATCATGCCACATGACCTTCTGGAAACCAGGAGCCCCATCCAGGTTCTGTCTTGGACCCCTGGGGCTAGT